TGGACCTCTTTTAGTCCCTTGTACCTAGTAGGTGCTTAATCAGTATTATTTAGTTATGAAGGGAAGTTGAAGAATTGCCATGAGATTTGGCAGTAACAGGAAGGAAGGAAATAACAGCATCTAGAGAATGGCTAGATAGGGGAGATCTGAGTTTGTTAAATGAATAGGAAAAATGTTTCTCAGAAATTGGTTTTATATACATAGGTGGAGATTATAGAGTGAGTATTCTAGAAAGCACTGCCATCCTTTGCTGGGAAAGATGGAAGGCTGATGAAAAGGTAATATCTTGATGGTCTTAATCTTCAGAAAACAGGATGTCAAGTGAGGCGGTGACCTGGAATAATTTATTAGGAGAAAAGAAGAATATAAGCAGCAAGTGATGGTCTAGATGCAGCTGAACAATGAATTTGTAGTGGGTCAGGAGGTGGGTGAAGCAGGTAAAAGAGGACTAAGAAGTGCAAACTTCCAGTTATAAAATTAATAAATTAGGGTGACAAAAGTAGAGCATAGGGAATATAGTCAATCATATTGGAATAACTTTGTATGGTGACGATGATAACTACACTTACTGTGGTGAGCGTTTTGTACTTTATGTAATGGTTCAATCACTATGCTGTATGCCTAAAACTAATGTAATGTTGGGGCGCCTGGGTGGCGCAGTCGGTTAAGCGTCCGACTTCAGCCAGGTCACGATCTCGCGGTCCGTGAGTTCGAGCCCCGCGTCAGGCTCTGGGCTGATGGCTCAGAGCCTGGAGCCTGCTTCCGATTCTGTGACTCCCTCTCTCTCTGCCCCTCCCCCCTTCATGCTCTGTCTCTCTCTGTCCCAAAAATAAATAAACGTTGAAAAAAAAACTAATGTAATGTATTTTAACTTTACTTCAGTAAAATTTTTCTTTTAAATGTGTACAAAGGACTTGAATAGATATTTCTCTAAGAAAATATGCAGATGGCCAATAAGCACCTGAAAGTATGTTCAACATCACCATTAGGGCATTAGGGAAATGCAAATCAAAATCACGTCCTTTCACATCCATTAAGATGGCTGTATCAAACAAAACCAAGCAAAACAACCCCAGAAAATAACATGTTGGTGAGGATGTGGAGAAATTAGAATCTTATGAATTGCTGGTGGGAATGCAAAATGGTACAGCTACTATGGAAAACAATTGGGCAGTTCCTCAAAAGTTAAAAACATAGGGTTATCATATTCCACTCCTAAGTACATTCCCAAAAGTATTGAAAGCAGGGACTCAAACAGATACTTGTATACCAGTGTTCATAGCAGTATTCACAATAGCCAAAAGGTGGAAACAACCCAGATGTTTATCAGCAGATGACCAGATAAACGATACGGTATATACATACAATGGAATATTATTCGGTTTTAAAAAGGAATGAAATTTTGAAACCTGCTACAACATGGATGAACCTTGAAAGCATTATGCTAAGTGAGATAAGCCAGACACAAAAGGACATATACTGTATGATTCTACTTATGTGATGTATGTAGAATGGGCAAATTCATGAGCCACATAAAGTAGGAAAGAGGTTATTAGGGGTTAAAGGGAGGGAGTGTGAAAAATGGTTGTTTAATGGGTACAGAGTTTCTGATTGGTATTATGATAAGTTCTGGAAATGAAGGGTGGTGACAGTTGTACACATTGGGAATATGTTTAATGACATTGAATTGTATATGTTAAAATGGTAAATTTAGTTATGTTAAAAAAAAAAAAAGAAACGGAGACTGATGCTTGTTAAGTGGGATCAGTGTACTGGAAGTTCCCATTGTAGTTGGAGAATCTAGGCATTGAGAGTAATTTTGTGAACAAGATAGAGATGAGGTTGTGATAAGAAGTTGGGGGTATCTAATTACTGATCTGAGAGGTGACATTCCAGTTAAAATCTGGGTGTGGTGTGTAACCTTAGGAAATTGGAGCTTGGGAGAGAGCAAAATGCAAATTCTAGCCTTGTCATTTTTGTAGCTATGCAATGGGGTCATATTACTAAAGCCTTCTAAACTTTTTCTATGTTATGTATTTATTAAATGGACAAATAAGCCATAATCATCAGGATAATTGGGAGTATTAAATAAACACATGTTTAAGAAAAAGAGTAGAAGTGCTGGCACTTAGGTAGGAAACTTAGAAAAATAGAGGACAAATATTTGAGGAAATAATAGATTGTTTTCCCAGAATTAAAGGGAGATGAAAGATCTCAGATTTAAAAGGCCCAGTAGAATACAATATAGAGATGAGGAAAAAACCACACTTAGACACATTATATTGAAATTTAAGACTCTCAGAGATAGAGAAGTTTAAAAGCTAACCAAGAATTAATAACATTAAGGACCAGAATTCGAATTGTATCACACTTTTCAACAGCACATAAGCTGTAAGAAGATGAAGGAGTAATACGTTTTGAGTATTGAACAGTGTTGAAAGAAAATAACTCTGAACCTTAAATTTTATAAGGTGACAATAAGCATTCAAGTGTAAAAGCATGAAGACCTTTAAAGATAGGCCGTACAAAGTCCCACATGGAGAACATTTCTGTAGGAAGAACTTAAACGAGTGGAGAAACAAATCTAGCAGATGCTGTTAGGTATGTGTGATGTACAAATGTAAGATGTATAAAGAATGATCAAAATACCAAAATAAAGATTGTCATCTTAAAAAAAATTAGCCACGACCAAAGAAAAGAAATAGAGAAAGTATGCTCATTGACATGAGGATTGGATGGAGGGGAGATGATGGGCATGAGGGCATTGTAAAGTTCTTCTCTTGATAAAGGGATATATGGATAGCACTTTTATTTATCAAAAAGAAAGATTGTAAAAAGTGCAGGAAAAGCAAAAATACAAGTTGTATTTTAAGGATGTCAGTTAAAAGACAGTTTGATGACTGAGTAAAATATATAGATCTATAGATATATATAATTTTACAAGAAATACCTAAGTCATAATTTAAAATTACATAGGAGGAGAGGCATGGTTAGGATGTTTATGAAAATTGTTGAAAATTGAGGATCTTAACAATGCTTTTGCTTATGTGGGTTATAGCTATCAATAGTTACCCTATTAGAATTTAAAACTGAAAATTTTTAAAAATAATTTTAAGACAGCAAAAAATAGGGGTCCCTGGGTGGCTCAGTCCGTTGAGTGTCTGACTCTTGATTTCCTCTCAGGTCATGATCTCATGATTTGAGGGATTGAGCCCTGTGTTGGGCTGTGTGCTGACAGCATGGAGCCTGCTTGGAATTCATTCATATTCTCTCTCTCTCTCTCTCTCTCTCTCTCTCTC